ACGTTCACGTTGCCATTTCGGCAAAACTGTGCTTCGTCAGTCCAGAGTACATTAGTGAGAAAATCGGGGTATTCATCCGTTTTAATAAGGGCCCAATCGCTAAACTCCAAGCGCTTCTCAAAGTCACACTCGCTGAGGTCCTGATGCAAAGATATGTGATACGGATGGAGCTTGTGCTTTCTCAGGACTTTCCATACCGAAAAGATGCTGCCTCTGGAATCTTCGACGACATTTCGGGTGCTGATTTCGGGGTACACTGGCATATAGGCTAACACAGCGATTTCAAAATCTTCGTCCAAGACAGCTGCTTTCCTTCTTCTTTGATGATGCACAGACCCACTGGACAGAAACTTCTTGGCAACCTGGAAGACGGTGGATGGGGCAGAAACAGTGCGACCAGGGTGTTGGGCGGCATACAGCCTCGTGGCAAGACGAACGTTGCCATTCATTTTAGCATACGCCATAACCATTTGAACCTTCTCGGCGACTGAATACCTCGACTGAGTTTGCGCAGCCATTTTAACGCTACAACTGGCAGAGCCGGCGTCCGTGCGCCCGCGCTATCTGGCGAAGCGAATCCCCCGCCGACAAACAATCGCGAATGAAGCTCCGAGGGCATTGACGCATTAAAAGCGAGAACGCTAAAGACCGCCCCCGCGAGTTTGCATACTTCGAGCCGCACCGTGACAGCCGCAGTGCAGATATGAGATCATGACGATTTGTACGTCACGAAACCGTCACTTCTACAAGCGTCACGTGGTCAGCGCTTCCGGCGCACTTGGAACTTTCAGTTTCGGAATCGGATGATAGAAAGGGGAGAAATTGTCGACGGATATCTCCAAACCAGTTGCATTTTTTTTAAATGTGTAAGTTGGTATAGCCTTCCAGGACGGCTGGCTTCAAAATTACAATTGCAACATGGTCCATAAAACCAATAATTAAAAAGTTAATTAACAGATTTTAGTTAATGACTCACCAGACTGTGACGGTTGTTCGCCTCTCGAATGTCCACCGAGCTCAAGAAACACATAGTGAAGACGGCATTCACGTAGCAGTAAAGACGCCTTTTTTAAAAATCTGTTTCAAATAAAAAATAACACCCTGTATATATATATATATATATTAGTGCACTGACAAACATTAGCGAGCAGGTGCTCGGCAAAGCCTGCACAATCTATCCCTGTCTCTTCCGGCATCTGGGGCCTACCGCCCCGCCATCTACGTATAGGGCGCTGCAGTTGCGAATATTCGAATGTTGGTTGTGGCCACTGATCTCTGATAGTGGCCTCGAGATTGACCTCGAGGTGGCACTACTGTTGCGCAATCATCATCATCAAAGCGGGTATAGAAGCATGGCTGCCCCATCTCCATGTATGCGCGCGAGGCGGGGTAGATTTCTGCGTTTATCTTGTCGCACGGCATCGGTTGGAAAACAATTTTAGCGGAAAATGGTGCGTTACCGGTCGGTGCTTCAGTAAAGATGAAATCGTGTCACCCGCGTACGGCCTAAATTTAAATAATCACTCGTGTAAATGCGTCGTCTACTCTAGGCCTACGTTGGGAAAAATGGATGACTACGACGGATGCCTGCCTCCGGGTGAACCGCACTATTTATGTTATATATTTGTTTCTTTTAAATAGAGGCATGAGTTCACCAACTTAGAAATTCAACAAAGCAATAAATTCCAACCCGGACAACATAATACGGATACTGCCGGCTGTGAAATCGCAGGTTCTATGCATTTTTTTTTAAATTTTAGCATTTTGCAGTAATATAACTATTTAGCGTGAAGAGAATTTAGTGATGTATCGAAAAGTACCGTGCTATTTAGTTCCCCTGCGGCGAATGTTTCCCCTTACCGTGCCACGGTGAAGGTAAGGTAAGTGTTTCGGAGTCGGAACAAATTCTACTTCGATACATTGAGGAGAGAGTGCCTCTTCTTGTTACGATTCGGAAACTGTTCGTTGGCAGGACAACTAAAACAAGTAAAACAAACTATTCTAATATATCTGCCGCGAGTGTAACCAATGGGTGTAACCGAGCAACGCAGTAGCGTGCATGTTATTAGATACTTTTCTCGGTAGTGTGGGTTCACCCGCTTCAATTTTCTCGGTAAGGGCCCCGGATGTCAAAAGACTAATGTTATAAATTTCTAACTAAATAATATGCTATTTAAACATAGTAGACTCTGCTGTTCCAACAAACGACCCGCACCACGACACAGGCAACATCGGCCGCCACGACACTCTTTTACTGATGAAGGCTAGCGACCGTCACGAGATACCGATCGCCCTCCACCCTCACCTAACGCATACCGGGACTGGGCTGTTCATCGATTAACCTGAGATTATTCGTATGATAGACAGGAAAAACTTTAAAAAAATGCCTGCTTTAATATTTATGACGTCTTTATTTCTTTTAGGACACAGGCTTGGACGGTAAAACACCTAGCATGCTTGTGATTGTCATCGAAGGTGATATATACTGTTTAAATAATAACTTAAAAATTACTTTACCTTAAAAGGCTTCCCTTGCTTCTTTTTCTGTAGGCGTCACAACGTGATGTTTAAAGTGGGAAATGCAATATGCCATTTATGGCATACTAAAATACTAAAACAGTGTAGTTTTAACGTCTTTTAAGCAATATGACCGGTAGTAAAACAGTGTAGTTTTAACGTCTTTTAAGCAATATGACCGGTAGTAAAACAGTGTAGTTTTAACGTCTTTTAAACAATATGACCGGTGAAAAATCAACAAACGAATATATCAACTGATTAGCCTATTAAAAGGTAGCGATCTGTCCGATTAATGTTTTAATCAAACCACTGCTTTAATCAACATTTAATCTTTCATGAAAGCCATGATTTGTGGGAAATAAGAAAAATATGTGGGACCGGCGGTTGTATACAAACCACAACACTAAGATTATGGAAGCATCGGACTTAATTATAATCGCTTTGCTGAATTTCCACACATGTGAAACGATACAATACAACCTATAATAGGAAGAAACAACAAAAACAACAAGCGTTTAATGAGGAGAGCTCAGCCCAGCCGGAAGCGGGCTTGGGTCGAAAAGATCCATGCTTCTGAACGTGCCCCCCTAGGAGACGACGCACGGTGGTAGCCCCGCTTTCCCGTGTTTTCAATCTCGGCCGCATGGTGGTGACACGGTTCCATCTCGAGGCGAATGGGGGGCTGGATGGCGCTTAGCTCCTCTCCGACCCTGGCGCAAGTGAAGCCACCGGAAGTTTGATGCTTGTCCCGGAAGTCGGGCGTGCGCTGGACTTCCTAGTCCATTCAGTCGATATTTTGGTGCATGCCTTTTTGTGTCTTTGATTGGGTTTTAATACTTCTGTTCTGCATTAAATCCCGAGAATAAGGCATTTTAACGTGGGACATACGCACACTTGATAAACTAAAATCTCAAAATTTTCTTTCTTTCTTTCTTTCTTGGTTTTCCATTTCATACAGAATGGAGGAGGCCGAGGAAAAAAGCTACCAACGCAGCTTGTGGGGCCCTCGACCCCCTTTCACATCGGATGGCTTCCCAGGAGACTTCTCGGGTCCGCATGCAATGTTACTCCGCAACATGCAGGCTCTCTTGTGGTGACAAGAAAAAACCCAGCGCCCTGAACGCTGTTCGAGCCAGCACTCGGAAGAGTTTAAAAGCCTGTCAAGTGGTCACTTCCGGGACAAGCCACTTACTTCCGGTGGCTTCATACCTGTCTGCTTTTGGAGGCTTTGGCATCATTTTCACTTGCCGATTTTACAATACCTGTTCTGAATCTCGCTATACTAGACAGCATACCAGAAAAAGTAAAGGCCAGTGATTTGGAAAATATAGTTAAGATATCTACACAAATCAAGAAGTATAAAAAACGCCTTCGCGTTTTTTTTTTTTTTTTTTTTTTTTTTTTTTTTTTGTATGGCTTTGAACATGTGATAATTACTAGAGACCGGATCGGGTCCCACATATGCCCGACCAAACGCCCGACAGGTCGTACGACGCGTCGGAAGGATGGCGAAACTCGATGAGGAGCTGGTCGGTCATGGCGTCGCATACACTCCCGTGAGGTTGTGGGGAATAGACCAGCCTCACTAGCGTAAAATACCAAGAGAGGCCTCTCCCCGAAAGATAGCCCACCCCTACTGTTGGCTTGATTTGCATTATTTCTTAAACACCGAAAGATAGCCCACTCCTAGCAGTATAGTGGTGTTAGGATCAACGATGGGCTTCTCTTAAATGCAGCTAGTTAGCTATGGTGGGATATGAGCCACCGTTGCTCACTGGGAAGTATAGTCATCTTTGCTTCGTTGCCCCTTGCCACGATAGAAAGCTTGGAAGGGGCACCAGACCTAAAGATAACATATTTTCAACTTTTCTAGATTGTATACTGAAAGTTAGCCCACTCCATATTTTCACAGAATTCGCTCGATATTAGGTGGGCTATCTCTCGGGATATTACGGTGAACGTTCCACGCGTGCGTGACGCCTCCGTAACCCTAGTTCATCAGAGGCAAACGCCAGTTCACGAGACAGCTTGTGCCACTTCGTGCTTCCTCATGCTCTGCTCGCGCAGACCCTCGGTGGAGTTACCGGTCGTGCAGAAAGATCACAGTTCTTACTTAACTTGGCGGCAGCAGTGACGTAATGAAATTAGCTATGAGATCTTCTAGCAAAAAAAGCATGCGAGAAACCCACCTGGCAACGCTTGTAGAACGGACAATTCAAATCGGTCTGAGCAGGTGGTTTACTACCCACTCAACACGACTCCAGAGGGCGCAAGTTAAGTAAGGTTCTATTTGTGTTTTGTAATGCAACAAATATAAAACCTTATTTAATTTAGACCTCTCTAGAGTCATTGGGCTGGGCCATAGCAGCCGTGGCCCCCAGTCTGCGCACTCCCAAGACTACAAATTTGTATTGGTGAACTTACTCAGGAATATGGCAACTCAATTCCCAAGACACACGACTATACGACTAAAGGAAGCAGAATTGCGAAAAGGAATAGTAAACCATTTTGTTTATTAAGAAGCTGCCATCAACGCAACATGTGTACTTACTTCTTGCACATAACCCATACTTTTTATAACATTGTTAAAGAATCATTTATTTCATAAATACAACGTAACAAGTTGTGCATTGATAACAAGCTCGAAAAGCGCCAACGTTTGAACAATTCGAAAACTTTCTACGATTCAGCAGCAAGCATAATATCCGGGGTAAAAATAACCAAGTAAATGAGTGTAATATAAATAAAAACGTTTAACACTTTCAGAAATAAGACCAACCAAGTGAACCTGTCCTCAAGGCTAAAGGCTGATCCACGTTAAAAATACACACTATATACGACAACATTTCTTTGGTCCGGAACTCAAACTCATTCCTCTCCTCCTTACAAGCGGTGGCGATACACACCAAAAGGATATTTAAAAGCACAATAGCTTGGTAGGAATGCCTGACGTTTAGTTCCTTCGATGTGCGCTTAGCAATTAATAGATTGATTTTGTCGGCAGCCTGGCCACACCACTTCGAGCATTAAATACTGGACTTGGCAGTTTCTTGTTATTTTTTCGAGGGAAGTGCAGATACGTAAACCAAACTCTTAGCTTAGCATCATGAATAGTTCAAATAATTAATATTTAAACACAGGGAAACCAAAAAAGAAGACGAAGGCGGCAACCCAAACTTATTTCACCTGTAGAATTTTAAATGCATGGCCTTTTTGAAGTCAACTTGTTTTATGTCTGTGCTTACATGTAGCCATGGTGTCGCATGACGTGACGTCACGTAACTCTTGTGAGCAGGTGACGTAAAGCGACACAGTAACGTGGTTACATGGGGTACCGTTTCACGTGACACCACATCAGGTCGCGCGGAACCATTATGTCACGTGACAGTGACACCACGCAACACCACGACGTCAAGATGTCGGATCAAGGTGTCGCCGGACGTGCCATGGGAGCAGCGGCACAGCGAGAATGATGTGCGCGGCGAAGCAAAGGGGACCTATAAACGCTAAGCATTTCGAATGCCTTTGGGTATGCCGAAGAGACCAACACCATGTGAGATGATACAGTTGAAATAGATACCTGAATAAAATTGGCCACGCTGGAACATTTAGGGGTTTTAATATTTATATATAAACTCATCAAGAGACCCGGAGCATGTTTCATACCAGCTACTAAAATTGGCTTCGTTTGTGTTTTCGGGTTTTCTTCCAAGATATGTGCATGACTCACGCATCAAAAAAGGTACACGGTCGAGCATTCCTACTGTTATAGAGTGCGGAGGGGATGACGGTCCGTGACAAGTAGGACCGTCTTACTTTGAGCAACACTTAATATTCAGAACGTCCTTCAAACCTCAGTAGCAGTAGACCGCGTGTGAAATGTTGCGTACACCTTGGCGATACAAATACAAGCTATTTGTTGAAGGTAGCCTTCACGGGAAGAAGGCTTGAGCGCCGAACAACTGAACGTGCACGTGCGGGGTTGAATACACCGAAGCAGAATAACCATGGTGTCCCTTTTCGAAACAGTTGTACAACTCACGAGGCTAAGCACTTTATTTGTCGCCGGGAGTGTGTTAATTTCGAAATATTACCATCACATGTCGTTTGCATCTCCATTCCTTGCACAGTTTCTGGGTGCAAATTGTTTAAAAGCTAGTATTCTTACGTGCGGTTACGTCAGCGGTCATAGTTGTGTAGAAAAATAAAAAAAGTCCGATGGGTAAACTGACTTACAAAGCATGTTCTATAAGGTTTATAAAGTAATGAAACCTTCTGAAATATTGAGGTAAGTTGTTTGGCTATCAGCTATGAAAACTCAAGTTAAATTTTCTCGAGGAGAAACTTTTAATGTGGCTCAATCACGTTTAGATTCAGTTCACTATAACAAAACTGTTTGATGCTGCGCAACCTGTAAACATTTCTTTATTGATCTCAAAGTTAAGATGTTAAATGCTGTGCGTAGTCCGGTAGCACTTCAATTAGAGCGAGGTATTGTGTGCGAGCCTTTCTTTTTTCTCTAGTATATTAACCGAAGGAAACATTAAGATGCATTTTGTATTGCTTATATTGTCGTCCTTAATTACATTTTATCCACGGAAAAACTACCCGATGCTGTAGCGGTGTATTATGTCAAGCCCACATATATATAATACATAAATAACATTACGTGTATTACCTTTTATTACCAAAACATGAAAAAATAAAAGTCTCGTATTTTTTTGTTTTTATTTGTGCTGCAAGGACATAGTAAGTGGAAAGCCAGAACTCTGTTTTACCTGCTTAGACAGCGCACCTACAGCACCAAAGTTTCTGTTATCAGTGTGGGCGCCTCGCGCTCTAAAGAATGCATCGTATCGCGCAGTCTGCGCTCCAAGAGAGAGGGTTATTGCTGGCGGTCAGACAGACCAGACGGCTGTCTCGACAGGCGCTAGAAAAGCCCCCAATAATAAATGTAAAAAAAAACACGAAAAAACACAAGCTTCGGCGCGTCCAGTCATTTGAACTACTCAAAACCTGTCCGCGCCGGGGCCATTGGATTTTCTTGGCGTGAGATTCATTCCCCTAGTAAAATATTTGGTATCAGCGTCGTCACGCCCTTTCTCAATGTCCCTTGTGAAAACGCAACACGTCCTAGATAACAAAGCCGTAGTGTTGAATTTTCTGCAACATCATCAAGAGGCCAGCGAGGAGGCACATATTGAACACGAGTGTTTGGTCAGCTTTCGGCTGGAGTCTGTGGCTGTCACAGATTGAACACGAGCCCCGGGCAAGCTCCGAATCAGTACCAAAGCCTAATTTGTGCTTCATGCTCCCTCCTCCAGGTGACGTAATAATTCCAGCAGCACGTCCTTGTCAGCTGTGAGGTGTTAGACGACACCGGGTCTGACTCTGCAATCTGTCTTTACCGAAATATTGCACGAATTTTACATTTAACTATGACGTCATTCAACGGATGAAGGTAAGTGCGCGAGAAACCATAGCTGCTGCCATCTAATCTCAGCACGTTCCGTGCCAAAGCATACACGTCGGAATGAGCAAAACAGGGCTGCCACTGAACCCGCTATCTCCCGTCACCTTGCATTTTTCCCCTCCTCCTCCATGGAACATCTGACGGAATTACTTTAAAGTGCTAAATAATCCAGGCATCCGCCTTTTAAAATGTGCAAAAGTTGAGGTCGTGTTGAGCATAAACCTGTTCGAGCCGGGCGGGCACGCTTTCCTTGCGGTAACAGCGAGGCACCTTCATGTAATGTTTGAGACCCAGGTCTTCGGCGAGGCTGCATGCGTCCGGGTTGCAGTCCACCACCATCATGGTCAGGCTGACCCGGGAGAGCGGGTTGCTCTCCACCAGGCAACGCAGGAGAGCTCCGGCGGCCTCAGGGTCCTTGGCGTACAGGGGTCCCACCATGGCGCCTCCCAGGATGTTGCTGCTGATCTTGCCGAAGCCGCAGACCAGGTCTTCTCCGTCGTCTTGGCGTCTCAGGACCGCCTTGGAGAAGCCATCCGTGTCGGTCACGGTCAAGGTGACGGTGGCTTCGCGGTCGAAGCAGTGGACAAGTGCGTCGTAGGCGATCACCTGCGGGCACCAAGGACACGGGGTTGCGCAGTCAGCTTGCACAAAATTATACGGAGAGAAACAGACAGAGAGAGAGAGATAAGGAGATTAAATTAGGCAGTGGCGTCAGGGCACCGAGCACTGATTGGAAAGATTAGTCGCTAGACACAAACGCCAGCTGCCCATGTCTTGCCCACTGTCTCCCTCGAATCAGAGCGAAAAGAGCATCGCAGTGCCTCCTATTCGAATGCCGGACGCCGGCGTTCGGCGTTCGAAAGCGTTCGAAAAATGAGTAAAAACAAAGGCATCTAGCCTTTGCGTTTACCCGCTGTCCTTCCAATAAGAGCTCGGCGCTCTAACGTCACCGCGCTCTCTCATTTCCTCCTCTCCCTCAGTTTCTCTCCGTTTGCATGGTATTCCAAGGTAAACATACACATGTAATGGCGGAACTTCCTGTAGCCGACGTAACTTCCGGTTGACCAGCTTCTTGTCTATACTTCAATGACCAAGAATGAGCAGCGCGTCTTTTAAGTTTTCCTTGGCGGAAGATTGGAAAAGGTATGTCGAAAACCGTACATAAGACAAATCGGTGTGTGTTTCTGGACCACACGGCGACAAGAGAAAGCACCGCACCTCGTTTTATTTGGCCTCCGTGGTGAAACTTACGTGGCCCCCACTTGACTACCCAGTGGAAACTTGTGTTTCGTTGAGACATTCAACGAAGTTGGATGCCCACGAATCAACGGAGGCTTGTAATTGTCTTGTGTTTTTCGTGCAAGGAAGAGCGTGTGTGAGAACAGCATTGCTTCATCAACTGCGTGGTGTCGCCGTGGGTGTTCGAGCTAGCCAAAACGAAACTGCGCTATACGCCTGTCGGACGTAGTTGAAGAAAAATGCGAAGGGTTGTGCCACTCGTGCTCGATCGTGCCTGGGAAAAAGCGAGCGATGCGTTTTTGACGACGAGTAGAGATACCGTGATTGGGACAAAGTCGTCGCAGTGCGTAGTACGATTGCGGGGCTCGTTCCCAGCAAAAATCAAGCGAAGTTCTTTCGAGGACAAGGGGAGATATCGTGATTGTGACAACATACACCTACCGCGGGCATCCCGTGAATGATATTCACGAGGATACAGGTGCAGGCGAGGACGTGAAAAGGCTACTTTAGATTCTAGAACCCAGGCGATCAGTTAAGAAAACTTGTTTTGCGTCCGACCTTTTACGATCACGCTACACTTTTGGGGACATATCGGATTTGTTCGAACTGTTCTGGTTGGGGAGACACACAAGCGCAAGTGTGTATGACGACGTGGGTGAGTAATAAAATTAAAAGATGGTACTCATTACAAACAAACGTCTTATTGCATGCTAAAAAAAAAAAAAAAATCTGGCTCTCAAACTTAGAAATGTAAAGATGAACCGAATCCCAGGTTCTGTTTCATGCAAAATGATCCCCCCCATTCTGAAGTCCTCTGCTAAGACAAACTCAAAATTTACGTGTTTTTTTTTTTTTTTTTTCATTTTAGTTTCTCCATGGGATTATTCAGGACTCTCAAATAGACCGTCTTTTTAAAACATCGGATGTACACGAAATTAACGTCCGCTAATTATTTTGTTCGGAGATTAAAAGAAAAAAAAACAATAAAATAATTTTTTTATGCTTTAAATATTCTATGCAGTAGCAACTTGGCCTGTGCGATGAAAACCTGCGTTCGGGATAAAATAAAAATATAATATTTGGGCGAATATTTATTAATCATTAAATCAATCTTTATTAGCATAAAACCCCAAATGTGATTCGGTCGATCAAGTATCTTCACTGTCCGGAAGAGTCATATGTCTGCATTTTTTATTTTAAAATTAAGCGATTATGGTGTTGAGTGTGACATCGATGCGAGCGTGACAGACTGTTCGCGCTCGACGGCCGCGGCTCACTGCATCTTTAATTTCGCAAAGATCCGGCACAGCAAAGTTGCCCAGTCAATTACCAAGCATTGCAACACTTGAAGAAGCCAGTGGGCGCGGAAAGCATAACAAGAGACCGGTTCATTCAGGCAACACACGAAACATGGCATTGGTGTTGCCCTCAAGAAGCATGAAAACAAAACCCGAACCGAAAGTGTTCTTTGCTACATGTCATGGCGACCGAAAATGGCCCGAGTACCATGTATACCAGGCAGCATACCTCACCATGCTTCTGTAGTTACCAGTTATTGGCGGTGTCTCTGAACTAGAGGGGGCGCTTTTCTAGCTTTCATCATCATCGTTTTTTTACGTCACGGGTATGACAGACTGGGACAGACCGCGCAAATCTTGGAGCCATCGGCTCGTCAGCTCGCTTCATGCACTGTTTGGGCAACGCGCGGCAAAGCCTGTTTCACCCGTTGTGTTTATTAATGCAAAAGCCTTAACTGTCCCGTGGTGCGAACCGACGTCATCAGCTTTTGAAGCCGCACCAAACGGTACGTTCCCCTGTCCCAATGGAGCGAAGCCGGTCGTCTCTAGCAGAAATCTGATGGATAGGCTCCCATTGACTGGCGCGCGTCATAGTTTCAAGGGACGAGGCTCCCATTGGTTCTCGCACTGCGTAGTTCCAAAGAACATCACCAAAGAAGCCCTCTCCATGGCGGCGCAGCGCACGCAGCGGCCCGGCCGCCGGTAAGAGGTGCGGGTCTGGCCGCAAATTCCGCACGGGCAAACTCCGGAGAGGCTGCACGGCCGAGCTTGGCGCGGCGCGGCCGTCGGCCGCTACCTCTGCAGTAGCGAAACGCGGTCGTCCACACCAGTACGCCGCACACGAACTAAGGGAGCGGAAGAACGACATTCATGCTTTGGCATTCACAACACAGAAGAAGTGCTTAGGCGTCCTCGGAATTTTAGGTGGAAAAATGTGCAGTAGGACATATTACCAAAGCTTGAAACTGTGGCCCGCGAAGTCGTGCTACCTAACACTTTTGGCGCTTAGGTGTCGAAGAGCTGGGATAGTAGTGTGCTGTAGTCTACCTCAGTACGAAAAGGTGGATGATAAAAATAGAATACCCAGCCCTTTACCCCACTACAACATTTAACATGGCGAGTTAGGTGTATTTTTTATTATGATTAAGACAAAATATAACTGAGAAACGAATGTCTCATCAAATTGAAAGTAGGAAGGCGAAACTCGAGAACCTCTCCCGTATGTAGTGAACGCTTCAGTGAAAGTGGCTCCGTGTACCCTGTTAATTCCAGTGTGTTCTGTGAGTGCTGGTTTCTTATTAGTTGTAAGTTTATTAATTTTTGAATTTCGTAACCCAGTAAACAAACATTTCCTCAAAATAACTGGCAGGAAAAAGCGGTGACCGGCTTCCGGAGTCGTTTCGATTAAATCCCTGCTCAATCACCCGGTCGACGCGAAACCTGCGAGACCTCCTCGCGATCGAAGTCTTAAATGTAGTAAGGCGGTGGGTGACACTTGTGCATCCCAAAAAATATGGTATACACCTGCTATGAATTAATACCGTTCGTATGTTTAATTTTGCGGTTCTAAAAAAGCCTGATGCGCTCGTCAGCGAGCGATTTTAAATTTGTAAAAAATCTTGAAATTGGATAGACAAAATTAAACAATCGCTTGAATTCAAGAGTTTAAAATATATTTGCGTTTCTTTCGCGCAGAAGTCGTGATGTGACAAACTTCTTCACCACGTGTTCAATGCGGGAGGAGCTAAGCGTCAGTTGTTGACGAGCATTTGCTCGTCAGAAACTGTCGAGCCATACATGGATAGAAGCGTCGGCACCGGCAAGCTAAAACAAATGTGCGACGCTTTGCAACACAACTGTGCGCGCGTGCAGGGCTAAAAAGACAGCACGTCGTTTATTTTGGTGAACGCAAAACCTTTTTCAACAGCAGCCTCCACAGATTCGAAAAGACAAGAATCAGAGGCTATGAATAGACCTGACGCACGCGGCGCAAGCGGTAATGTAAAACTCCAGGCTTGTTTTTGAACATTTTAAGGTTATTTAAATATAAAAAAAACAACTTCGAAGCCCTGTTTTTCATCAGAACGATCACACACAAAAACGTCCATAACGTGTTTTTAATAAATAAATAATTTTTAAACGGCATAGATACGAACTAACATAGCGACTCCGTGTTTTGAAATAGCGTGTCATTCACCCATCCATCTCGTCAACCTATACTTCGTTTCAGCTTCTGTCCGAGCGCAGCCAAAGGCTGAGGGACGGTTTGCAACATCGAGAACATCGAGAAGAGCATTCCTACGCACCACAAAATAGTCCTCAAAAGCATTTTTTTAAATAACTGGTTTGTGCGTAAACATTGCACAATATTCCAGATGTGTACTGCTCAGTATGATTCGCGACTAAAGGAATTAAATATCTAAAGTTTATGTATTTTTTTTAATATATGTAAATGCATGTGGTTTGGTGAAAACAGGTACATCCGCTGGCAACACGGCTGCAGCGGCGCCAGCGCTCTGTTTTTCTGTGTGATTTCGTTCCCGTAATGGCCGAATCGTATGCTTCGCTCCTTTCCTCGGATAGTCGCTTCAAAACGTCCAGACGTCCTTTCGCAAAGGCATGTTTGGGCGTCAGGCGCGAGAGGTCGTGATGAATGTCTACTTTCAAATTGGGCAGGAGACTCCGGCCGCGTCGTACCGCGAATGCGCTGTAAACAAGAAAAGCGTTTGGACCACTAGAATTCACTGACACACGACGAAATCAGGGCACCCCTTTACTTTCCGATCACATTGAACGCCGAAAAGCAGGTGGAAATGACTACGCCTCGAGCCCTGCTATATCCAGACAATACAAGGAAACATCAACGGCCGGGTCATCGGGCACCTTGCAGTGTGTACTCCCATCTCGAAACTATGCCGAACAGGTGGAAAGCTCGGACACAGACGCCAGAGGGCCAGCCTACGTACTGATATACCTTGTGAATAAATTTCAGAACGTAAAAGGGCACTGTTTTAACCTGTGGAATTCGATAACGTTGATACACCCGTAGCAGACGAAATACTCGGCGAGCGCGGGCGGCGCGGACGACCAGCGGCGCAGCGGAGTGATACAAAAGTGCAGGCGGGATCGCGTGACCTATTACCGGCGTGTGATTGGCTCCGGCCACACGTAGCTTTGGCTGAGCTCCGACGGAAGCTGAAAGAAAGTATAACTGACAACGCAGCCTCTCCCTTGCGCCCATCCTGTCAAGACCAAGAAAGCGTCTACCATCTTCTCTGCGCCCGTACAACCTAGATACAGGAGCGCGAAACATTGTTACGTTGTACAGAAAAACTTGAAGCGTCCGTGTTGACCATCAACGACATTCTTGGCCCTTGGAAAACTATCAAAGACTGTCAGAGAGCAACAAATTCGTTGCTAATTTTTCTTGAAGACACAGGCCTGCTTCTCAAGATATGACACAACTGGATCAAGACACCGTTTCCTGTGCAGCCTTGACAGCCTGTTAACTGGCGTGTGTTTGCGTGCGTTTGTGTATAAATGTAAGCTTATTTATTGATATGGTATGAACATCTAATGCGTTTTTTGTTGTTGTTTTTATTGATGTTTTTGTTGTGTTTTCCACAGAGTAGCCAACTAACAAATTCTGCGATGTCAACATCTTCGTGTTTTTTTTTTATTCATCAATAATAAAAATTTAAAAAAGACATAGCTTGTCGTCTGCTGGCATCCTACTAGCTCCGCCACAGGAAGGCGCCCACGAGGTGGCGCCACCATAAGAGCTCGTCGCCAATAGACGCAGACAAACCTTTTGCGGCGATAACCGTTAGTGGCAAGGTTTTTACGGCTGATCCCGGGGTGTCTTTTTGTGTCCTTTGTGGAGCCCTAAACATAGCGAAAAACATTATCCCCTAAATTTAGCGGTAATTTAGTGCCACGCGATACAAGGGAATTGTAGTAGACCGTTTCCTCAGCCCGCTAAGCACCAGGATAGCACTCCGTAATCCGCCACAAGACCTTGAACTATGCAGACAAGGCTGGCGACGCGCATGCGCAGCTGCGGCGTTTTCTTCGGGGAAACCGTAGCGGAGGGGGAAAACGATCTACTACAACTCCCTATTATGGTATCACGTAACGTCGCGGGACCAGGTCATGTGGCGTGATAATGTAAGGTGACGTCCCAATATCGCATCAACGCAGTCCGCTACATTTAGCGAAACCCAGGTTTGCTAAACGTAAACGCGACACTGTAACTGTGCGCAGCAGAACGTGCAGCCCGTCAACTATAGCCGCAGTTTAGTATCAGGTCACTGTAAGCGAGTGCGCAAAAAACCTTCAACGTAATATCAAAACGAAATTGCTCCGAGATACAAGCAGTAGTTCTGTGCCAATCACAGTCCTTCGTTGCGAGCCCAGCTAAAAAATATTCGGTAACATCGGCTTTTTATATATACGATGATCGGAAATGTTCCAGGATTACCTGACAGATGGTGCCAGTATGCCATTATGTTCTCTTGACGTGAGGGGTCACAAGCGGGTACCAGGCACTCGGTCACACTCAAACGCCACTGTTTGAACCAACCTCCAGAATAAATAAATTAACTGCTGGGCAAGTTGGTTGATTAAACATCACTAAAACCAAAAAGCGCAAAGGACAAGAACAAATGACAAGTGGTCGAACGAGACGGGACAGGTCTTGTTCTTCCACTTGTACTTTGAGCTTTTTGATTTTAGTGACAGCCTCTAGAGTCGCGCGTTCGGAAGGGAACTAAGTTCCCGAAGATCTCCCACCTGTGGCCGCAGCTCTTCATCGATCGGCACCACGCGAAGGTCGTCCGTCTGCGCCGGCAGCTTCTCGGGCGTCACCGTTACGGTGTTGTAGACAAGGGTGTTCCAGGGCTCGACGAAGCCGAAGCCCGCCCGGTCCCGGTACGTGCTCAGGTGCTTGGGCACCGCGTTGAGGCCCGCGTTGCAGTCGCCGAATCGCTGTGTCATGGTCTTCCAGAGACGGACCCCGATGCCCCGGCCCTGGAGCTTCTTGCGCACCGCATACATACCGACGAAGTAGAGCGACGGGCGCTGCCTCATGCAGGCGCACGTGGCCACGACCTCTCCTGCGAAGTATAAAAATCAAGGCATTTTTGTATTTCGTCTCACCTTAACGGTGCATTTACACTGGCGTTCGAATGGCAACCTCGATTCGAATCCACTCGTTTTCATCCTCAAACGCGCGTGCAATTGTATTTAACCCTCATGCAACCGCGTTCGCCACCACCAGTGTGCATACGGCGGAAGCCCAGACGTAGCCGAAGCTACGAGCGGATGCGACCAATCATACAGCATCAAAAGCGCGCCCTCATAGTGTTCGTATGTTTCGGTATGTGCTCTGTCATCCCCGAACCAATCGAATACAGAAAAGGCCCAGCGAGTTTCACTTTTGGCGCTGCTCAATTAGTCCCATTAGCTCATAGCGTCGGCTGTGCCTGGACTTAAATCTGAAACGAAGTACTGGTATGTTTCCACCCCGACGAGGCCGTACTCGAATCACGGCGCACTTACAGGGACGGTCCGTAATACCATCGCTTGGCAGAAACCCTGTCTAAGACCCGGAACCGAGGCTTCCGAACATCGGCCGAAGTCCCCAACGTGAACGGGTCTTCGCCTTCCTCTGCCTCCAACATCAAGAGAAGCTGCTGCTGCGGTGACTTAAACCTCCGGGCCAATGAGTGTGGCTGTTGGACCTTACCTAAGCCAACAGCCACCACCTTACAATTACACCAGGATCCGCAGCGGAGACGGAATGGGACTGATAACATCGGACGCTACCATCATCTAATCATGTCCCATTAAAACAACATCATCCATCTAGCCCAAACCCAGTCTCTAGCCTGTCCGTCTCCCAGCCCTCAGCAGTATACATAGAAAATCAGATTAGAATTTACGAGCTACATATGCTAGGGTACCTTCAAATGCGTGCGACTGTAACCATTCCTTCCTCCTCGAGGTATTTTTTAAGGACATTTATTTTCAATTGTATTGTTTTAAAGGCGTAGTATTTGGAGCGGTATTCGCACGAGGAAGAAATCTCAGGGATGCCCTCCCGGAGCGCGCATTAAGCGACGAAAACGTCGGGCGTCTGCAATCCGGTGCTGTGACCTCCGTTCCGCGGTGGAGGGAGGGAGGAATGCTCGTGACAGGTGGTATATGCAATAACGCTTTGGTCACGGTGCCGCTAAATTTGTCTGTGGTAATTTCTTACCCCCTTCGGGCACCTCGTCGGTGCGAACGACGAAGCTGTGAAGAGTATTGCGCCCGCTGTCGACGTCACGCAGATCCCTCAGCTGATTTATGCCCCTGTGAATACCGCTTATAGCCACCGGCAGGTTGAGGACAGCAGAGAGTTTATTTCTGACGTCCGGCCTCCAGCATGCGCTGGTTGCCTTCCGCTGTGCTTTGACTGCGCTTGCACGCGCCAGGCTTAGAAGACGCCAGAGTGTGATCAAAGGTAGGAAGCTCGAGCAGGAGGCGGGGCAATTGAAAGAATTCCCTCCTGTACTCATCCTCTCAGTGATTGGAGCTGTGTTATTAATCTCCAGGGTTGTTGTGGTAGAGATATTGTCAGGGTCAAATCCAGGTTCCAGTGGATGCTTTTTGAAGTAAAAACAAGATAAAAATATTGCACGCTGTGATTGCTAACAGTCTGAGATGATAATCTTCCCTCGATATTTTCGTGATGGGTCTAACGCTATAGGCTTAATTCTGTCAGTGTAGTACGACATACCAACCAGGAGTGTCTTGTACGTGCATCAAATTGTAGTGATGCACGTTAAATATTGTAACGGGAGAAGGAAAAACAAATACATGCATATGGCTGTATCGTTGTTTGCGCGCACTTCCTGATGCGTTCAAAAACCATTTAGAAAAATTAATATTTTCCATGGCACACATCATATCAGATTCAGGACAAGGTTTCCTCCGGTTAAAACAAGCCTTCGGCGGTGGAACCGTAAGTTATTTTAATCAATTCTGGTCTTAGGTGCTTGACCTGATACGAGAAGAATTTTTTGTGCAAATGAAAACAGTCAGACGCCTCTCTTGTCATGGTTCTAACCTCAGGGTGGTTTGTGCTGAATCTCGCAAAAACAATACTTTGGAAGAGCAACTGGGCGGTCCGAGACCACTTCCGAAAGCTGTTTTGGTTTCAGCGTGATTTTAGCTTGGCGCGCGAAGAGAGTGAACGAGTGAGTGAGTGAACTTATATAGAAAATAAAAGAGAAAAGAGGAGCAATGCGGAACGAGAGTTTAGCCTCTCAAAAGCGGAGTCATCTTTTTCGTTCCGCTTGGGGAAAGGTGAACCAAGGGTGGTTGAGAGAAGGAGAAGGGGTAGGGTTGGTTCCTGGCAGTCAGTGTTAGAGTCGCGAGGTTCGCGGCCTCAAACAAATCAAGCGATTACCCGGAAAATCTCCATTCTGGTCGTTCTTTGTCCATTTGGCAAAATGAGACTTTGGGTGTCTTTGGTTGTCAATGTTACTTCCCACGGTTGCCTTTTGATGATCATACCTTAGTCTTGCGTGTTCTGGGCCTAAAATAACGTGCTCCGTATCTTCTGTCTTTGCACTGAGGACATTTTGGAGCAAACACTCGTCCATTTAGGTGCAAACAATGGGACGTGTATGCGCAGCCAGTTTTTAATCTGGGCAGTAAAGATTGGGGCTTTCTCGTGAATATTTTTCTTGGAACAAAGATAGGTGGTAATCCAGAGGCTGTTTGGGGGTGAGGTTGATTAGTTTGCACCTCGTTGTAAATATTGCTTCGTGCACCGATGTACCGGTGAATTCCTATCCATCGAACGGTAGCGTGCCGATAGCACAGCGACAGAAAAGTTGTCGAGACGAGACATTTTGACCGTTGAACCTTTTATACTGCTTAGCCCAGCCAATAAAGATACTTCGATTGAAAAGCTGAAACATCAGTTAGCGTTGAGAAAGGGGTTTGTTCATGCGCATTGCCTGAAAACGAATCGATCTATCGAACGAGTGTGCCGATAGCTCGGCGACAGAAAAGCTGCCGGGATGAAAAGACATTCAAAAAGAATTGCCCTTCTCAAAATCCTTAGCCCAGCCGCAGCGAATAAAGATACTTCGATTAGAAAACCGAAGCATCAGTTAGCATTGCAGGAAAGGTTTGTTCATGCATCTCACTTGAAAAACAAATTCATCTATCGAACGGTAGCGTGCCGACAGCACAGCGACAGAAAAAAAATGTTGAGAGGAGTAGACAGTCCGAAGGCCGCTTCCCTTTTAGGAATGCTTAGTCTAGCGAATCCACGTTCTTCGATTGGAAACCCGAAACATCATGAATTGGCGTGCTATCAATTTAACGACGGTGTGCCGGTATCGGCGTAGTACATCGACGGCTTCCCTCACGCTGCAGAATGGAACCACGAAATATCTGACAAGTTTGAGGGTTTCTTGCATCGACAAGCCGGATCAAGAACGTTGCATCAAATTTAAATAAAACAGCATGCAAAGTAAATAAACAAATAGGCCAAGGTACGTTTCCTCATATATGCTTGAAAAGAGTCTTCAAACCGTTCGGGAACGTTAAAACGTTCGTAGAAGCTTCATAACGTCACCGTCTCTTTTACTTTACACCCTGCCGCTCCACACTGGCGTTGATTAATTTATCTCCGAAATACTTTCGGCTCCTGCCACCCGTATCTACGAAATCCCAGGTTCGTTCTAACCGTGCAGTCTTAAGGAGCTCGAGCGGCTCGTCGATAGTTTCGGTCTGTCGCGCTCCTGTACGCCATGCGCCGTTTAGTTGCTGCGCTCGGAGTATGAAACTCGGAGCGTCTGAGTAGAAGTATAAGGACCGCACCATGGAGCGAAGCCGGCGTTGTCTGTAACAGCGAAACGGGCAATAAATTTCCATTGGCTGAGACGCGTTATATCAGATGCTTCATCACGGAAGCCGGCGGAGCCGCTCAAGGTCAAACCGGACGCGCTTCAGAAATAAAATGCAAAGAAAAGCACAGCAGTGCAGATCCGTCGTCACGGAAGCCGTGGAGCCGGAGGGGGCGCCGCGCCTGCGCAGTGGGGGAACGTGATGACACCGGCGGAGCGCCGTGTGCAAAAGGAAGACGTTGCGCGCTGCTTGTAGGAATGCGCTGCGTGGAGGATCTCTTTCGAATTCTTACACGTAAGCAGTCTTAAATGTCTTTAACGAATTTCTTTTTTGCTTTTACTTTGATGATTATGTTCGCTTATTCCTTCCTTCAGGAATATTGCTTTGCGACAAGAAAAGAGACGAAACACAGACAAACAAACACACATACGCGCACACACACACAAAGAATAGTTTCTTAGCCCCTCGGCACAGTCACATATACTTCAATTCACCTTACGATATGCCGCGATGAACGCTATGAGCTACACGAGCCAATCCGTAGTTCTTAGCTTGCCTCGTGACTTCGCACTACCCGCATCGCTTCACCCAACCGGGGGGCATGTGACGCCCTCCGATCTATAAATTGGATCCGGTGCCTCGCAGCGTCCTTTACGGTCCATCGTAAGCGGAAACAGAGTATATATGTGTACGAAACCACGACGACTCACCAACGCCATTTCGAGCTGCACATTTATGTGAAGAACTAAACTTATTTGTTTCATTAGAACGAAGCTGTCTCCATGTCGTCCCAGCCGTTTGTTTAATCAAAACTGAGCCACCGAGCATTCGCGAATATTTAATTTACTTCTTACCGCCACCCGGAAGACGGTGCGGCTCACATTTTACTACGCCGATTCTTTTCCAATGAACTGGTAATAGCCACATAAGATTACGGTTCTCTTACGGTTCGGGTTCCATATCGAATGTTTGATTTCGGTTATAGTTTTCTTCCGGTTCAGTTAAAAATAGCGGCTATGCTCGGGTGCTCGGTTCATGTTCGGTTCGATACCCTAGCTGGATGCTAATCGAGCCTGATTACAACAGCCGCTTTGTCGCATCTCGCGGCGCCAGGGACGACACCTTCTCTGTCTACCGTTTGGTTGCTTCCCTGAGGAAGCGGCAGCGTCATCTTCGAAAGAGCATAAGTCAGTGAAACAATGAATCC